GATAGACTGCCTACGCGCGGCCTCTGCGCACTAGCCTGCCAGCGCCCAAGCACACAGCCTGTGCGGGGGCCAGTCCCACCGAGGGGCCTAAGAGGGTGCCAGCCCACCAGACCCACTCTTTTGATGTATTGAGCTGCTGGAAATTTTAGCTTCCCTTCTAAATATTTAGGAAGGAAATATTTTGGAGGGAAATATTTGGGGGAAAATTGACTATAAATAACCCTTTTTACTTTGTGTAATTCATTCAATAGAAGTTCAGTTTTTCTTTTTCCATCATTCTCTTCTCTTTTCTTCCTTTCCCTTTTATGCAAGTTTGCTTGCCGGCTTAAAGCCATTGTGTGGATGTGTGAGTATTCCGACTGACCGAAAAATAGTGGGTTGCGTGTGGGTGTGCTGAGTGCTTGCTGGGCGGGTGCTGAGCATCAAGGCTGACTTGGGTTCTAGTACTGGGATAAGGGTTGAACCCAAGGCCGCACGGAGGGTGGTCTGAAGAATCACCTCGTGACAACATGACCTGGTTTGCAACTGAAAGTTATGTGGTATGTGTGAGTGAAATTTTATTTAATTTTCGTTCAAATTAAAATTTAGATTAATAATCTAAGCTTTAGTTTTAATATTAGATAAATAGAGGTTTGAAAAAGCTAGAGCCATATGCTTCTTATAGTGGCCAAAGAGATGCGTATCATAGCAATCTCATCAACTTTAGGCTAAAAAAAGTCCTTTTTCTTAAGATAATGAGGAATGCTATTGAATTGAGAAAAGATAACTCACTAGTTTTATATAATCAATGGCATTCTTTTGAATTATGTTAAAAAAAATGAATTTTTCTAAACTTAGAGTTGAAGTTGCTGTGATCTCTCCGGCTATTGGAGGAAGCCACAACTTTGGCTTTTACAGACTTCTCCAATATTAAAACTAAAGTTTATATTGTTAATTTAAATTTTAATTTGAGAAAAAAATAAGTTGTTGATAGAATTATCGACGAAAATTTTCATTGATAATACCGATAAAATATTTTGATAGATTTCTTTCATTATTGACTAAAGATTGACCAACAGATCAAATCTATTACTGACTGAATTGTGATGGAATACTTCTTGTGTAAATTACCTACTGAATATTTCGCAATTGCTGATGAAATTTTGACAAAAATTTTCATTATAATTTTTATCAATAATATATACCGACGAAATCTTTACTATTACTTGTAAAAATTTCCGATGATAATTTTTTTTTAGTGTTAAACTTCCAAGAATCAGGAATTCAAGATGGCAACAACAGACAAAGGATGGCATTTCACATTTTGTCTTCATTGGTGAAGACAAAACATGGATTAATAATTCAAGGGTGAGTTGCTTTGTTTCACATGGAACAGCCACGTGAACCCTATCTGCAACAATCAAGCATAGGACTTGTTCAATGCTTGGTTTTGTAGTAAACCAGTCCAGTGACATCTCTTAATTTCCTTCTTGAATAATGCATTCTGAGCCTTATAATTGTCCAGTAAAAACATATGTAATCAAGAAGCCAAGCAATTTAACAGCAGAAATGATCATACAACAGTAAGGAGACAGATGGTCTTGGAGGGTCTTGTTGGTCTCAGACTCCAGAGTTCTCCCAGTCTTGCAAGCAACAGAATCATGGGCATTGGCTCAGACATGTTTCCCAAGCCCTCCAAACAATAATTGAGAATCACTTCTCTCTCCCCCTCTCAACATCAATTGCATTGAAAATCTCCTGTATAAATACAATAATGTTTTAACACATTTCCAGTTCATCCATGAATGGGATATAAAGTTGTTATTTCTGCAATAAACAATGAGGCCTCCGCATTTCATCTTATTGTGTCTCCTCACAGCTGTTTTGTATCTTTTGTCTCCGTATAATGAATTTCCGAATCTTGCTTCTTCTCCTTCTTCAATCTTCCTTACAGGAAGGAGATCACTGAGGGGATTGAAGATGCCATTGCCTGATCACCAAAACAGGTATCTTAAATCAGAGGTAATAGCTAGTATATCCTTTAGGTTCTTGGGAAAATTTATTTCAGGATGGAAACTCGTTTGCAGATGTACCAATTATTATGTGAACAAAATAATTTTCACTACACATCCATGCAGGTGGCGGTTGACGTGGCTTTACAATCAGCAGCGACAGATTCCATGGCGCTCAGATATTCAAGGAGCCATAGCAATGACAATATGGAGGACCTCGTTTACTACATTGACTACCATGGAGTCACAACTCATCCAACCCCAACCCCAAAACATCCTAAGCCATAACTTGATGCCTTTGTTATGTCAAATCAATAGATGAATGTATAATTGAGCAGCAATAATTAGGCTAAAAATAGTTTTGCTTCCATCATGGAAGTCTTTAATTTTTTTTTTTTTAAAAAAAAGGGTTAAGGTCTGGTTTTGGCTTTCATAGTTATCTTCACTACTATGCATTTCAACTTTAATATAGACCGAGTGAATTTGTATTGAACGAGAGAAAACTATCTCTGGTTATAATGTAATAGACTCAATATTGTTTATTTACTGTGTTTGATTCAGTTATGTAATTACTTGAGCTGTAACTCATATTTCGACTTAATTTTTAAATTCTATTGATTAAAATTGCATTAGTTATTATTCGCTTTTTTAGGGGAAACTCAAGTTTATCCAAGTGAACATCATTACACCTCAGCCAGCTGAATTACAAGCATAGTCAGTGTGGCTTGTTCCATTCATTTCCCAATCCCAGGAGTTATTGTAAATAACTAGAATTTTAACTTTTCTTCTCCCAATGGCAAGATGACACTGAAAACAGCACACTGATGACTTGAGCTTGTCTCACCCAGTAACCTATATATCGACACTTGCCAGGTAACCTATAGAAAAGCATAAGATATGCGCCAAATTCTTTGACGGAACAACAAATGTCCAGATATCAGATAATGGCATCTCATCTAATACAGAGAAACCAGAAGCTTTTCTCTTGCTCATACAACCATTTGACAGTTCATTTACATCATATTAAACAAGTTAGCACTTGTACGTGAGCTCTCATCTCCAGTACGTCCTGTTCAGTCAAATCTGAAAGGACTACATCTATAGCAATGCACCCATCAGGCGAAACAGCACCATTTTAGCAGCCAGAAGCATAAAGACTATCCAATAATCAAAAGGTTTTACTAGGGCAGTTTAACCAATGAGGCTTAGGTGCAACAACTCTTTTCCCAGCCTTTGCCCAAAAATAGTCGCATAAACCCACAACTCACTCAGATAAAACTGGAAAAGGTCATCTACAGGAATTTTGTAGGTTAAAATCAATCTACATAAAAGATATAATTTTTGGATACATAAACTAGTTAATACATGATTTATAGAATTATATTTATGATTTGAAGTTGCCACAACTCCATCTAGTACTCATGTGTTAATATGCATACTTATAAATTATTACTAATAATTGATTATTCCAAGCCTTATATAAACCTTACCAATCACACTCATATAAAATGCGAAATAACTATCACAATCTCCCTCCATCTTTGATGACAAATCACAACATTACAATCCCATACCAAGATTTTAAAGTCCAACTTATTAACAATCACTCACATCTCACTCATTCAACTCTTTTATATTCTGGAAAGAATGTTGCTTTCGCAAAAGTTTGAAAAATCAAAAATATAAAAGCATGGAAAATAGAATTACGTGCCATGTGCATATTAAATCTAGTTCATGCAAAACCTTACGGGTCAACCTATAACTGAAAATAGCACTGCTGTCACCAGTCACGACAAGTACAATATAGTACAGGTTTCAGCTAACAAAAACAGAATAAGGTCAAATCAAATAAAAACAAAAGACACAAAATAAGGTAGAGTGTTCAGCAAGTCCATATCATATTTGCAAAATATAAGGAAGCAGAATAGGCAGCGCCAAAAACTTTCTACTTAGATTTTCATCACTTCATCTATCCCACTCCAAATCCAAAAGCTTCGGATTCACCTTTGATGAACTCCCCTCTATGCCTTTATGTGAACGATTGGTCAACCAATCCCAGCCAATGATGTGGGGCAATGCAAACTGTGCAAGACCAAAACAAGGAATAATTTCATGCTGCCCTTGACAAAACTACATAGGTTGCTCACCAAGTAATAGAGAAATCATGCCAAAAGTCATTCGCTTTTAAAACCACATGGCAAGGAAACAGTAAGTCCACCAGAATGGACCAACTCAAAATCACTGGCTAAAAGAAAACGAAGCTTATCATTAATCAACTTATCAGCTCAAAGAAGGTTTATAATCATTTGCTATAATCACCAGTATAATATTTCAGTCTGAACTAAATTCAAACGTTGGCATATCATGAAATTAAGAGAAATCTAACAAATCAACTTGACTTACATTCCATCATGGCAGTACAATAGTGTTAACTGTTATCTAGGAAAGAAAAAGGTAAAATAATGCTACTTATCAAAGAAATAAACCTATTAGACTAATTTAAGAGCTGCATAAGTCCCGCAGCTCTTAAACCCCATGCCTAGCATTGAATGACAAGAGTACTATCCTCTAACAAAAGTCAAATATCACATCTTTAATAATAGGCTGCAAAATATGTAGAGCATCAGGGGTTTTCTGAACTATACGTGTGTGTGAGTGTGTGTGTGCATGTAGCCTGCACATGCAAAAAGTATATTTTCTTTATGCATTTTCAGAATATTGAAAAAGGGCCTCTAGTCCTGATTCCTAATATGACTAATGAGGTAATTTACTGATTATCAGCCTAATCTCTCACAAATATTTAAACTCACACAGACACCCACAATCATTATTTACACTAATAGGATAAGAATTCCAGTTAAATCATGGAGACAGCAAGAAAGTTGAGTTAGTTATCATATCATACACTGCAAGCTGTCTTCAATACAGCAAATTCGGCTGTCGTGATAGGAACGTTAAACCGCTCATTGGATTTTAGAAGGTTGTTGGAAACAGCTGCAAAGAAATTGCAGAAAAAGTTAAAACTTACAGAGAACACTCTGACAAAGAAATAAGTTCAATACTAGTTACCATCTGTTGCCATTAAATTTTACGTTGTAGATTGCTTTGTTCATATATAAACTAATAATAGTTGCCTAGAATTTGGGAAACATAGTATAGGGGAGAAATACAAAAGAAAGAACTTTCAATTTGTTCTGCACTTTCAAAAAGTCTCTTATTACTCCAAAAGGTGTAGCAGAGCATTGCACAAGTACCTTTGGAGATGATGATCTACTACTCTTTCCATCATTGATTAATTTTTACATTTTAAAGGGAAGAATAATGCTTTTAACGAAATTCCCATACATATGGGTGATGAATGCCTAAATGACAAATATTGACAAATTATTGCAAAAATCATAAATGTGGTTAGACTTGCCTAAATGACATTTGAGGCCGTAACCAAGGTATTCAAGACAAAGGCCTTGCTTAAGTGCCTCCTCTAGGGGGATCTCAGTTGTGTTTTCACATCTCACCATGCCTGAACAACTACACATGCTTCTGGCTAGCCTTTTACTGCATAAGCAGCAATAAAAAGAGCATAAGAAGCAATTTTAGTTTGATAGCATTGTCCAATGACATATATGCAATACTCTTTTCTTTTCCCCATTTCAGAATACAAAAGAACACTGATTGCGAATCTGAAAGGACCCATCCCAAGATGACATCCAAGCCAACAGAGAATAAACTTTTCTTATTGTTGTGGAAAAGATTAGCCATAAGGCTTCCTTATCACCAAGATGACAAAGACATTTGGTCCAAGCAAATCTCAAAATTTCTCTATAACCTGAATATGAGTAGGAGCTCTAAACCCCTAGATGTATGTACATACATAATAGACGTTTCTGTTCCCATATATGTACCTATTTTCTGTCAATCAACCCTAACCCTTATCCTTTCAAGCAATCTTAGGAAAAGCTGTCACAAAGATTAATATTGTCCTACACAATTACGGCCCCACTTGATTCATAAACCTGTCAAGCCCAGATTTCTCACTGCATAAATTAACTCAGCACTCACCAACCTTTCAAAAATCCACCAAAATCTCCCTGCTCTCCTTTGGTAAAAATAATCATGAGATCAGGCATTCCAGGCAGCATGCTTTCATGCCTAGTATTTTGAGGATAGGTTCATTAAATGAAGCACTCCAGAAATCCCAGTCAAACCCAGCAGCCCTTCTTAAAGGGCAGTTTATACCAATTGTTTCATCCCACCCCTTGGCATGCCATTTTATTTTTGGGAATTTCTAAACACTTGTAGCACCAATCCCATTCAACTATCTGTAAACCTTCGATTCTTAGGAACCTGTTCCCAGCCACCCAACAGGAGCATTTTCATCTCTCTAAAACTAGTCAAGAGTTGGTCTGTCAGAAACAACCTACGGCTTGCTTCAGTTATAATTTCTGCTAAGACAAAGCAACATGGGCTAAAAAAATTAACTAGTCAAGAAACAATATGATATGGAAAAACAGAAAATCCATCAAGAGATTATGAACATGTATTCTTGTTCAGCCATTGAAATTGATTGACTGATTCACTACAATATTTTGGCTTAACAATAAGTTTTAAATACCTCTCATTGTGCCCCTTCCAGGCACACCAAGTTGCATGAACCAAATAATCCAAGAACAATAGGTTAGTGGTCTAGGGGCTGAGATCTCACCAAGATTAATCTAATTTCATAAAAAATCAACTCTTTAATGTTTGGAGGACATAGGTGATAACAAAAAGTTCCTATCCTGCTAAACTATAAATATCTGTTCTTTACAATAATGCTACTCTTTCTTGCAAAGAATTTTGGAAATAATGTCCAGCTCTTAAAAGACAAAAATTAGCAAAAATAAAACAAAATGTTGCTTCGAGAGAAAGCAATATTAAAGTTGAAAACAAAGCAAGTAATTAGAGATAGGTTACTTACTCAAAGAAATCATGTAGCCATTACCACCATCAAGTGCCTTAATATATAGCTTCTTGCTTACTTGACCAGCGTTACTGTAGCACAAATTATTTTGTCAACTTAAAACATTAAAAATAAAAAAGCTAGCATAATGCAAGCTATAGCTTTTTTTCAAAGCACACAAATGTGCACTAATAATTAATAGAAATTAGAGTTGCTTCCAACTAAAAATATATGGGGAAAAAACAAATGCGGAACCAGACCTTGATAGCATTGAAGGGTCATGGAAGAATTCAGACACATCATGAGCACCCATGCTAATCAAAGACCCAACCTCTGTTGGTGACAAAGCAAATCTCTGCAAAATGTTAAAGAAATCAATATGCTTAGCAACATAATAGGGGGAGGTCAAGAGCAGAGAGACAAGACAGAGACAAAGTGTATCATAGACAAAAATTCTCCAGTTAAATGCATGATAAATCTATGTATAATCTTTGTTTTTTCTTTTTGGGCTCAGTCAAAGTGAAAATCTATGTATAATCTCTTGATGCAGAAAAATGAAGTTTTCAGGGTTTAGGGCTTTACTTATCAATGCACTAAAAGTTTAATGAGGGAACAATTTGAAAACATTACCTGTCTCTTTTCCCAATCATACTTGCGCTCACCAACAGCAGGCCAGAAAGTCAACATCATAGCCCCACGGCGATCAAGTTTAAGGTTACCAGACTATTAACATGTGGCAAAATGAAAAGCAGCATTGGAGCCCTCAGCAAGATATATATGGTAATATTTACAAAGGTTGAGGGAGGCACACAAAAAAGAACTTTGAGAGAAAGAAAAATGTTAGTAATATTTAGGAAAAGGTGTAATGGAGGGGAATTCAAGCATACATCTATTTTACTGAAAGTTGGTAGAAGAGGAGTAACAGAGAATGCAGCTTTTCCCTTGTATACTGTATAAGGAGCAATCACGCGAGCGGTAGAATTTCCTGCAAGTTCATATGCGGAAAAGGACTTAAACAATCACAAACACAAGCCATAATTAGCCAATATAGGAAAACCAAATCCAAAGAAAAGAATGCATTAAAGACCTTTGGCAGCAGAATCATGTATCGAAGTTGAAATGGCCGCTCGGGATTCGAAAGCATGAGACCATAAAGCATCTCTAACATCACCCCCCTTCACAGATAGCAGTGTTTGGGAAGAAAGGTTCCTGCTTACAGTCAAAAACAATGCCCCAGTAAAAAAAATCAACTTGAAAAGGGTTCAGTGCCCATATCAAAGTCAGCAATCGGTTCTACTCAGTAATGAGATTTTTCCATGTAAAATTGAAAACCCATTGCCTGAAAATCAGAATTTACTTAGAAAGAATGCTCCTAACAACTTTAAACTGTTAAATAAATATGCAAAATTCACACTGCCCAAAAACCTGAACCGATGATTGAAACTATAAAAGAAAATGAGACCTAGGAACAGACAACTTCATTCTGCTAAGCACCATAAAATCTTAAAATGTCCCAAAGAGATTAAATTTTCAGCGAGAAATAAACCAGGAAAAAAATACCTGGAGCGCCATAATTTCATCATCTTTCTTGGATACTCTCTTAGTCTTAGAAGAGTGGAGAGAATGTTTTGCTCCGCAGACAGCTCGCCTTTGTTTTTGGGCGGCCATGTACTATACTTACTACTCCCGACAATGGGCCTTCGCTATGGCTCGAAGAGGAAGGCCATGACATGTCTCGCCCTACTCACGGTCCGATGTATTAAATTTACATTTTGATATATAAAGAAAATTTAGAAAATTAAAACTAATTTCTTAAAAATTTTAATTAATATTTTTTAATTATATTAAATTATCTTCTCGACAAGTAATTATTTTTTCGATAATCATGAAATGGTAAAATAAAAATACCAAACATAAACTAATATAATTAAGTAACCCAAAACCAAAAACCCTCTATTTAGTAAGATTTTGTACACTCCTTCCATAAGAATGACACATCCTAATTAGATTCATCTAACTTTCCTTTTTTATTACCTTATGCCCGCTAGGTTTGAGCAGTGTTGAGCAAATCGGATTGGATCAATTGAATCGAAAACAATGGTCTATTCAATTTGATTAGGGGGACAATTATCAAAAAATTAAATTGGTCAATAATTGATCAACTTTTTAATTAAATTTATTTTTTAAAAATTTTAAACAGATTAAATCAATTTTTTTGTTAATTTTATTTTTTCATTAAAATAATTGAAAGTTAGAAGGTTCAACCCCTTACACTCTTGATTATTAATTAAAACTCTAACCTTTTAATTAAGTACCTTTTTTTGTTATCTTTTTACCATATTTAATATATATTTAATGCTAAAATTCCATTGTTTAAAAAAATGTTAGGACTGAATCCGTAGGACTAGTTAAATTGAGAAATAGTGACACATTGATTCCTAAGTATTTTGTTAGGGAATAAACTATGTTCGGGTATTTAGAGGTAATGATCTTTTTTTCATTGTTTGATTTTAGGGAAAAAGGATTTGAGTTCTATTCTTTTAGATAAAGGAAGTGTATCAATCAATAAGTTAAATATTTAGATACACTTAAATTAATATATTTAAATATTTTTAAATAACACTTAAATAATTTCATTTAACTACCTCAATAAAGTGTATTAAGCAAACAACACATTATTTTTTTTCTTTTGTTGGTGGCAGCTGAATGGTTAAAAAAAAATAAAAATTTCTATCCATTTAAATATTTTTGTTGATTTTTGCCCAAACACTTGTGTATACCCTTTCCTCCAATTGAAATCCTTAGAACCCTCTTTCTTTTGTCACCGAAAAAGAAAAAGAAATTTGAATTTCTGACTTCCTTGATTCATAGCAACGAAAATCATCTCTCTCTCGCTCTCTTCAAATCACAATTTCTTAAAATCTCTTGAAAACTTCATTTGCCTCTAGGTTCTTCCCAATCATTTTCTCTTCTCTTCTCTCTTTCTCACTCTAGGGTTTTTGAATTTGAGAGAAATTTTGTAGTGATTGAGCGCGAAGATAGAGGTTCCATGGAATTGGTACAAGGTGGCACTAGATGCAAAGGGAGGACGACATGGTGAAAATCTCTCATTTTATTTAGGCCATTGAAGAACTGTTAATTGCTGTAAATCCTGTCAGTATGAAGTTTTTTTTCTTTTTTTTTTTGGGTTTATTTTGGTTTTGCTGAGTATGTTTGATAATTTGTTAGTATTTGGAATCAGTTTGCTAAATAGGTTTCATGTAAATCTTGTCCCCTTATATGAGCATGCTCAAACCAATTTGTTGATTTCTTGTTTACTTGTTTGAGCTCAATATACTATCTAAACAATATTATTATTCATTTTGTTGTGTGCTAGGTATTATAAGTATTAACTTATGAATTGGTTACATAGCCATATAGTTTTCTATTAAAAGTTCTAAGTTTATATCAATTTTCTTTTATGTTGTGTTCAAAACATAAATTTACAAAGGCGAATTTGAATTTAATCTAGTATATAAAATGATGAGGACAAAGACAAGAATCATTCAAAAATGATGAGGATCAATTTTTTTCTTCTTTTGGCTACATAGCTTATCAAGTTTATATTAGTAGATTTGTAGTCAATTCACTTGAAATTTATGCAGTTAGTTTGTTTATTAACTGTGTTCATTGTTTGGTTTTTTTTGGCTATCCTAAATCCTAAATCATTGTAATATCAATTTGCCAAAAATCTGTTCTAGTTTGAATGCTCTGTTGGCTTGACTTAGTTACCATTTTTCCATTCTCTATATGTATGTGCAAAACCTATTATCGCATATATGTGCAGACTTGTATGGACACCGAGCTCACTAGAATTTGTATCAGTTATGGCAACATTATTAGTGTCTCTGTGCTATTAAATTGTCTGGAAATGATCTCCTTTTCTCTAGCCTTCTGCGTTTTTGGATAAGTGTTAAAATACATGGTTGTTAAAATGAGAATCTGAAAAAAAAAAAATGGAAAAGGAGAAAACTAAAGCACTGAGGTAAGGATGATGAAAAAGTGACATCCTTTGGGTTCTGACTACTTTAATTTATCAAATCTTAATGGGCTAATTTCTCAAATTAGTTTCATCCAATCTTTTGGGATTGATTTTTAATGGCTTTGGTATAAGTGATTTGATGGATTTAAGGGTGGAAAAAAAGACTGCTTGTTGTCTTTGCTTTTTCATGTTGTGAGGTTTTTTAATTCTTGGTATTTGAATAATATTTGATCTTTTTGTTTCTAGAAGTATGCAGAAGCAATCCATCTTAATAGTTGTCAGCATTTGGGGTTGAATTATAGTTTATAAAGATTTACAAGTATAATTTGAAAATTTTTTGTTATTGGTATTACATTAATTATGATAAGTACATAATTTTTCTATAATTCTTGAAAATATATTTTAGTGCTAATTATTGATATAATTAATTGCATTATGCAAGATTTACTTTAATTTGGATATACCTATCTTGAAATAAAGATTTATCTATTTTTCTAATTCACTAGAACTTGACTTTATAGGCAAATGATGTGGTATTTTGTGGGCGAATCCTAATGTTTGTAGCACATTTCTTTCCATTGTCTGAACATTCAGGTAGTCATTTCTATTTAGGCTCACTTTGTTCTTCGATTGTTATTAGTTCTCCTTTCTTTGTGAGCTCAAATAATGCTTTGCAACCGTGAATATAAAGGAGTTTTTAACACATCAAACGAGACAAAATATGAGAAGGACCCACCTGAAGGTGAATTCTAGTTAACTCCATTTTCCTACTTTTCTAGTTTGCATTTACTTGTGAAGTGTTTGTATTTTCTAGTCAGCATCAATTTTAATTTACATGCTTTTTTCAGGCATTTCTGCTAATTTCAACTTTTATAAAATCTTTTGGAGTTTACTGATTAGTTATGCCACTTTGAACTTTTGGAAATGGATGTTCATTTTCTCTTAGTCTCCTAGAAAATAGTTGGGGAGGAGATCTGCTTTTTCTTGACAAATTTTGAAAAAGATTTTAGTTTCCTATTTTCACAAACTTAAGACCCTGCAAGGATACAAGTACCAACTCACTTGACTAGGTAATTACTGCTTAACATAGATTCATCATCTTTCCTTCTACATAGTTATATCATTTGCATCATTTGCTAAAGTTTATTAAAAGCACCAAATGCCAGCAGTCACTTAGTTCCCCTATTGCCATGTATGCGATAATCAAAACCTATTTCATTATGAACATAATCAAACCTCTGTTATCAGCAACAAAAAAGAATTCAAGACTAGGGACTTAAGTATATATATAAGTTCAAGCACTTATAAGATGGATTATATTTGTTATCATAACCTTTGTAAGAGTGTTAATGTAGGACATTTGTCAAATTCATTGATTCTCTTCTCACGTAGATCATTTACTTGTTGCTGCTATATTTCTTGAGTGTGCTTGCTTTCCAAATTTCACAAAGATCTTGTAAAGTGATAACTCTATTATATAGAGCTATCATAGGCATCTTTGGAGCTTTAATTTTGCTAAGTCTTCTAGTTTTTTTAATCCTAAGGTAGTTTCTAGTTTTCTTTTTAGAAATAATTTAACTTATGTGATGTCAAGTTCCATTTATGCAAGTTTAACTTAATTTTTTGTCAAAAGTTTCTGAATTCAGCCTCTGATTATTTAATCCCTTAATGTTGAAGGACATGCAAAGACTTGGAGCATGAATGCAGAGGAGGGTTCAAGTGGGCTCAAAAGTAATTGAACATGCTGAAGTTTTTAGGGCATAAATTGAGCTATAGATGTTCGATCGAAGTGAATCTTGAACCAATGGAAAGCCAAGAGGATGAGCTACAACTTTGATGTTTAGTACTTGGCTCAAATCAAAAGGAATCATGACCAAAAATGAAGTTGAAAGTGAGATCCATAGCAGCTCTGCACTAAGCAGCTTGAAGGAGAAAAACATGAAAACAGAACCTCCAGCGTTGCAGCAGCAAGTTTCCAGCGCTGCAGCGTTGTCCAAGTCAGACAGATTTTCGCTACAGCAAGTTTTCATTTTCGTTGCAGCAAGGTACAAGGCAAATCATGTCAGAAGGATTTTCGCTGCAGCGAAAAAGAGGTTGTTTGCAATGCCAAGTTAGGAACAAATTCGCTACAGTGAAATTCCATTCTCACTGCTACAGGAACACGTCAGATAATGAATATTCCTGCATGAGTTTTTAGGTCAAGCTGAAAAAAGAGGGGGTATACATAGGAAGTTTTGCGCTGAGAAAAAAGAGGATTTGGAGAGACCATTTTGGGCAAAAGGAGGCAAGAACAAAAACGAAAAAAGAAGAGGAATCAAGAGCTGGAGGATCCAAAAGCTATAACAGAACATTTTCTCACTCTAGATTTGATTCTCTCTCTCTAACTCTTTTTGTAGAACAATGTTTTTGTTTGTTGAAATGTATTCTTTCCTTTTGAACATGTTGAACTAGAGTTTTTAATCTAGGATTATGGTGGATGCTATTGTGTAGTTGGAATCCTTTGGATTCTTTCTTTACTTGTTTTAATGAGAATATCAATGTTTATTCAAATTTATGCTTATTGTTTCATTTGTTACTTGATCACTAGTAAATTGAGTATAGGGTTTTAGATGATGCTTGAGAAGGACTAGTTAAAAAGACCCAAATTTGAGTAATGTATGTTCATCCCATATTAAGAAATTAAGTGGGTGATTATTTAATAGGATAAACATATACTTATTAATCATACATAGTCACTAGGTCCTAAACTTAGTGAACTTAGCTTTAGTGAATGTTCTATAGACATATAGATAGTTAATGAAGCTAGGTAATTGTGTGATAACTCGACGGAGTACCATGCATGCTTAGGGAACCTAAACTAACATTGATTCTCATAAAAAGTAGATAGTTGATTGATCTTGTATCCTTACAAAGCAATAGCTGAAACTATAGTCCTAGGTCTTAATTATATTGTTTCCTTACTATACATTTAACTTGCAATCCTTAGGTTAAAGTAAACTTTTAGAGTAAATTTTATTTCACTTTTAACAACTTGTTCCTCTTGTTATTTGGATAAAACTTAGTTTGTTACAATTTTAGTAATTAGTAACAAATAGTAAATCAATTCCTCGAGGGATCAACAACTCTATTTATCACTATATTACTTGTTGCAACCATGTGCATTTGTGCATAATCCTTGTATTTCACATTTAAATTTTGAGCACAATCCATATCAAGTAAAAGATTTATTTATTTAAAAACAAGCAACAAGTTTTTGGCGCCGTTGCCGGAGAGTTGTTTTTTATTTTTGTGCTAATATTAATACTAAGCAAGCTAGTCTTAATTCAAGCTTTATTTTTCCTTGTTTTTAGGTACGCAAAACCATCATTATATGAGAAGAGTACGGAGCTTGGAATGGGTTTTACGTGATACGAAAATAGGGGAAACTTTTCAAAGATTACTTAGAC